GCCCGCGCGGCCGCATTCTGGACCAGTTGAAGCCTCCGGGTGCTCCTCAAAGGGAGCCCCATATAGAGGGCATTACAGTAGTCCAGGCGGGAGGTGACGAGGGCATGAGTGACTGTGCGCAGAGCGTCCCGGTCCAGAAAAGGCCGCAACTGGTGGATCAGGCGAACCTGATAAAACGCCCCCCTGGTCACGGCCGACAGATGGTCATCCAGTGCCAGCCGTGAATCCAGGAGGACTCCCAAGTTGCGCGCCCTCTCCGAGGGGGCCAGAGTTTCGCCCCCTATAGTCAGCGATGGTGTCAGCTGACTATGCCGAGGCGCTGGCAACCACAGCCACTCGGTCTTGGAAGGGTTGAGCCTGAGTCTGTTCCTCCCCATCCAGACCCGTACGGCCTCCAGGCAACGGGCCATGTTTCTGTAATATGTTTAACCTTCTTACTGAATTACATGGATAATTCTCAAAAGCAAGTTATTGTGGCACCATGGCAGAAAAACTCAAAAGTGTTTTTCCATGGACATTAAAGCATGAGAATGATATATAATTAATACTATATTGTTTTTTTATGGACATTATTCACTTGGCTATTTCCTAGTACCCCATCAAGCTGCTAAAAGCCAATATCTTACTTTACTTAATGTAGGGCCTCTCCAGCCAAAAGTTAAGATAGAGAGCCAGTTTGGTCTAGTGGTTAAGGCACCAAGCTACAAGCTGGGAGACTGTGGATTCTAGTCTCCCATTAGCCATGAAAGCCAGTTGGGTAACATTAGGCTAGTCATTCTTTATCAGTCCAACTCACCTCACAGGGTTTTTGTTAGGGGGAAAATAGGAGGATGAAGATGTGTTGGATATGTTCTCTGCCTTGAATTGTTTATTTAAAAAGGCAGGATATAAATTAAAGATAGAAATAAAATAGAGAAAGAAATCATAAAGTAACTTAAAGTTTTAAAAAATACTGGAAACACATTGCCTTTTATGTGTTCTTTTATAGAATATCTCAGTGTGGCCTAAGCAAATAAGATGTATGTGAATCTGTCTCAGGAGTCCTCATCAGGAAGGACATCTAGGAAGAAAAATTCCAAGAAGCAGACAATAATGGAGCATGGACATTTAGATGAGATGGACTGGGCACCACTGGCTCCCATGAAGAGGCTCTAAACTCACAACCCCATTGTGCTGCCCCAAAGTTGCCTCAATAAGGCTGCCACCAACCATTTCTCCCCAGAGAATCCTAGTTTCTCCCCTTTCTATCCTAGTTTACTCAGGAGGAGGCAAATGGCAATCCTCCTTCCATCTCTAGCTTGACCAGAATTAAAACCTTGCTTTAAAGTATTTCCTCAAAATATATTGGCAATGAATATATCAAGGGGGTAGATGACATCTGCCTTTTTGGATCACCCATCAACAGTAAAGGAGCAAATACTCAAGACCGGACACTCCAGACCAGTACTTAATAGAGCAGCCATGAAGGTCTTGGAAAATATATTCAAATGTTGTGTTGAATCATGCAAGCCATGGCACTCTCTATGGGAGCAAAAGTTGGACTTGGAAAAAGCAAATAAAACTTTGAACTTTGGTGTTGGAGAAGACTCCTGAGAATACCATGGATAGCCAAGAATGCAAACTGATGGACCATCAAATAAATCAAGCCAGAGTTCTCACTTAAGGCACAAATGACAGGCTCAAATTATCCTACTTTGGACACATTACTGAAATACTTTGGAGAAGATTCTAATGCTGGGGGAAAAATAGAAGATGAGTAGCAGCAAGACAGATGGATTTGGTTACAATGGCGATGTATGCATGATTGGAAGACCTGAAAAAGCAGGTATAAATTCCTGATCTCAAGACTAGATTTTTGTGAATCAAAAGGGAAACAGGGAAAGAACTTAAACAGGAACAAAAATAAAAAAACAAAATAAAATCAACCATCCTCTTCTTAAAAGCTCTCCTGACAAGAGAAAACTAGCTCCTTAACTGAATAGTTCCTTAACATTTGATTTTTTAAAATGTGCTTTTATTATACTGTATGTATGCACTACTATATTTAGACTGAGCTAATTTTCCTTTAATTGCTTAAGTGTATTGACTTCTTAGAAAGATGCTACAGATC